GTGTGTGTATGTGTGTATATATATATATATATATATATGTAATGTTAAGGTTTGGGAAATCTATGCCATGTTATTGACTTTGATCTTCCCAACAACCACACAAGGTAAGAGCTGTTTTTTACTAATGAGGAAACAGGCCCACAGAAGGGAAGTGAGTTGGTCAGGGTCCCATAATAAGAAATGGAGGCAGTATTTGAACTTAGGCCTCTTGAGTCCACCTCACTATGTCCTCTACTGTAGTCAGCTAGCAACATTCATTCTACTTTCTTCACAAGCCCAGAGCAAAGGGAGATTCTTTTGGAATTGCCTACGGGTTTACAGAGATGTAGAGTCTGGGCTTCTTCAATCTAGTTCCACTCTTTTGGGCCTGACGGGATAATCTATTATGTTTCTGTGTCTGTGATGATTGACGTTAACCTAAGCAGACTTGCTTGTTTTTGAGAAAAAATAGCCTGGTGGAAAAGCCAATGGATTCTTCATCTCATTGCTTCTTCTTAGAGTAGGTTTGTAAATTAAATTTTTCTTCTCCAAAGTTATAGGGATTGAATGACTTAATTAACAAGGACAGGAGTAAAATTCTATTCAGATGATCAAAGGGCTTGTGAACAAAATAATTTTCAAAGGGGAAAAATGTGAAAATCACTAAAACAGAAACCCCACAGCTGGGATTCTCTATGAAAACCTTCCAAGTTAGAAGAATGCAAATGAAGCCCATGTCTAAGAGGAACAATGGCATGTTCCAGAAGACAGGGTTGGTATGCTCTTAACAGCAGGACTAGACTGCCTCGGCATCCCATCCCTGCGAGCCTGGAGTTGGAGCCAGACCAGAATCTGCCAGGCCCAGCTACTTGGGTTGGTCTGAATGGGCTCATGGCCCTTTGGACAGTGGAGACTGGAACTTACTGCTCCATAGGGAACCTGAGACTGTAGACTAAAGTAACTCAGACTAGCTGAATCCACACAGTTGGCTGCTGTTGGGTTCACCCTATACTTGTGTAGCGAGTTTTTTGAAATCAAGGGTAGAATCAGACCTTTACCTCTCTTAAATTTCATCTTATGAAAGTCCAGTCTACTAAATTCATTTTGGATCCTAATTCTATCATCTCATGTGCTAGCAGTCTCTCTCAGCTTTGTATCACTCATAGATCTCTGTGATAGACATCTATTTTGTGCCTTCATTGAAATCAGGGGTGGGAAACCTGTAGCCTCCAGGCCACATGTGGCCATCTAGGTCATCAAGTGTGGCCCTTTGACTGAATCCAAACTTCACAGAAGAGATCCCCTTAAGAAAAGGATTTGTTCTGTAAAACTGGGACTCAGTCAAAAGGCCGCACCCAAGCACCTAGAAGGCCACATGTGGCCTCGAGGCTGCAGGTTCCCCACCCTTGGTCTAAATCATTGATTAGAATGTTGCATCAGACCAGTCCAAGGATAGAGTATAGTACAGTGAAAAGAGTGGTGGATTTGGTTCCAGACAAACTTGGTTTGAGGGTCAGCTTTGTTACTTCCTAGCTGTGTGATCTGGGAGAAAGTCCCTTCACTACTTTGCATCTCAGTTCCCTCCTCTGTCAAATGAGGTCCCTTCTAGACCTATGCCTTTGATCCTGTGATCCCATGGCATGGCATCAGAGACCTTCCCCCAGGTTGACACTAAAACATTAAGTCAACACACTTTGGAAACAGTTATTCAGCCACATATTAATCCACCTAACTGCACTACCATCCAGGCTATATTTCTCATCTTCAAGTCAATAACATTAAGTGCCTAATTTGACCATAAGAAACTGTAAAATGCCTCTCTACAATCTTTATATACAATGTGTACAGTGGCAGGTGGAAAACTAGGTGGAATAATGGTTATCTAGCACAGGGGTTGCCTACCTGAGGCACATGTACCCTCAAAGGGGTACAAGAAATTTGGCAAGGGGGAATTAGTGGTAACTAACTGGATTTATTCCTTCTGTGCATATACAGGGTAAACACATTGAATTGAGGGTGTGGGAATATTCACTGAAAGCCAAGTGGTTTAGGGACTAAAGAGATTGAAACCCCTCTTCTAATAAGAGGAAAAGGTGAAGGAGGTGAGGATGAGAAGAGAAAGCAAAAAAAAAAAAATCAGATTTGAGAAAAGAGGAGGGAAAGGATGACTGCCACAAAGTCAGGAGCAGCTGTTGGTTCCCAAGTTGCTGGGGCTTTAGACTAGATTTCTGGGCCTCAGTCTAAAGCCACTCTCTTCCCTACGTCTACCTGCCAAAGCACAGTTTAGCCCACAAGTTCCAGGGCCATTGCAGCATTACCTTGGGGAGGTAACGACCCACCATCATTCCAAAGCTTTCAAGCTAGGGGACTGAGCAGTACTTTCTCAGCCTGTGCCTTTACTCAGGATGTGTCTTCAGGTGGTTTGGATGATTTTTTCATTAGCTGAAATGTTGTTTTGGTTGATTTTTTACTAACTTAATGAGTCATCAAGTGTTAAGGCAATTGAAACTGTAGCTTACATGCACAGTGGTTTGGCTGTTTCAATGACCTGAGCACTCTTCTCCCACAGTCTTCTATCACCTCAAATCTCCATTGTGAGGGATTGTCTGATGTTGACTACTGCCAGGTGAGGATTGTGGCAAGATGGGGTAGGAACAAGATATTAGGAAGTAACCGGAGCTCACGCTCCCGAGGCAGGGGCTGTGCTAGGCGGAGTTGTGGTGAACTGGGATGGGAACTGGATACGGAGAAGTAACCGGAGCTCACACTCCCGAGGCAGTGGGCAGTGCTATGTGGAGCTGTGATAAGCTGGGGAAGGAACAGGATACAAGGAAGTAGCCGGAGCATGTGCTCCTGAGGCAGGGGGCTGTGCCACGTGGGAGTGGGACGGCAGAGAACGAGTTCCCTTTGTCTAGTCCTCTCCCTAGGTGCAACGTTAACCCCAGATGTCTCCTTCCTGACTTTCTGGGTCACGTACTTTCCCTTTGTGTAGCAATGACCCCAGACGCCTCCTCCCGGATCTGGGCCTGACTTCCTGTGTCATGTGTTCTCCCTTTGTCTATGTACTAACCCCAGACGTCTCCTTCCTGTATCTGGTCCTAGCCTCCTGCGTCACTTCCTCTCCCTTGGTGCAGCGCTAAACCCAGACATCCCCTTCCAGTATCTGATCCTACAATCAATGACTACTAGGTGGGCTGAGGAGGAGGGGCTAAGTAGGTACTTAAGACAGTAGTGGTCGGAGCTCGCTCTCTCTTGCTCCTGCTCTCTTGCTCTGGCTTTCCTGCTTGGCCTTGCTGTGATGGCCTCTGAATAAAGCTCGAGTGTTTGCACCTCCTGATCTGCTCATCTCTGTGTTTATCCGGGTGGGCACCGAAGACTGGTAAGTATGACCTTGGCAGCCTGCTCCTTATAGGAGGAGAGTGCACGGCGCGACCGGCACACTCCATAAAGCAATGATGAATTTTGACTAGACACTTCTTTTGTACTTCTTATAATTGAGCTAACTTGGTCAAATCAGACATTCCATAGAAACCAATTACTGTAAAGCAGGGGTGGGAAACCTCTGGTCTCAAGGCCCCACCTGCCCTTCTAAGTCCTTGGGTGCGGCCTTTTGACCAGTCTAAATTTTACAGAACAAATCCTTTTATTAAGGGGATTTGTTCTGTGAAGTTTGGATTCAATCAGAGAGCCACACTCGAGGACCTAGAGATCCACATGTGACCTTGAGGCCACTGCAGGTTCCCTACCCCTGCGGTATAAAGTGAAACAAGCAGAAAAAGATATGCACAATGATATGCACAATGATGACAATAACATAAATGAAAAGATCAGAACGCATACCTTCCTCTTCAAAGCAGGGGCCAGGAGACTACTGGGGCAAAATGTTATTGTATACGTTGTCAGAGGTGTCACTGTATCCGATGTTTTTGCTTAGCTATTTTGCTTGGACACAAGGGAGTTCAGTTTGATGAAGAGTGGAGGCTCTTTCCATAAATGACTGATCTAATAGTGTTTTCCCACATGAATCAGTGCTTTAATCTCCCAAACTGAAAGTCAACAATATTTACTGAACATCCTCAATATTGTGGGTTAATGGGAGGGTGTGTAGGAGGTGGGATTAGCCGAGAGAAATCAAATACCATGTTCTTGCCTTTGAAGCGTTGATAATCTAATTGAAGCTGATAATCAGAAAAGAACATCAGACAATATGTCTTTGTTAAATGCCTGGAGGGTTCAGAGCAACATCCTGGGAACTTGTAGTCCTAACTTTGTTCCTTTTCAATCTCTTCTACACTTTGAGGATCTGTAAGTAGGTAGGTATGGGCACAGGTCACAACCTCTCAGATGATGTCCATCCCATGGCTTTGGTGGCCAACATTCTGGTAGCCAGTTGGACAATGAGCCTCTTTGTATTTGGCTAGCCTTGTGCTAGGATCATACCCTAATTCAAATCTCTTCAGCTTGACTCAACAGTATTTTAAAGTATCTAAATTTAGAGCCAGTTCAAATTGGTTCTTTAAAAACTACTTGAGGGGGAAGCTAGGTGGCACAGTGGATAGAGGACTGGTCCTGGATTCAGGAGGACCTGAGTTCAAATGTGGCCTCAGACACATAACACTTACTGTGTGACCCTGGGCAAGTCACTTAACCCCATTGCCTAACCAAAACAAACAAATAAACAAACAAAAACTACTTGATTTCTTCTCAAGTTTCCCTAAAATAACTAACACTGGGGCTCAGTTCAGAGCTTGGCAAATTCATCCATTTGTAGTAAGTTTATAGAACAGGGCAGATTTGTTTGGTTCAAGGACTTAGTAAGAACTCACAAATACTGATCCACAGCTTAGACATAAGGAGAAGAGATGGGCTCAATGAAATAGGATACTGGTTCACAGTGAAATGCAGGGGAGTGCCCACATCACTGGTGCTAAAGATTTGCTATCAACAATAAAACATGATGGCAAGAAGTTGCTCCTATACAAATGTATTTTTTTTAATTTCTTTTTCTTTTATAGTTGAAGAGTGGGCTTTGGCTCCTATAAGAATTATATTCCAGGTAAGAATTTCAACCAAGTTCATAGAATCATAGAAATCTAGAGTTGACCACATCCTCAGAGATCAAATCTCTTCCCCAATACATTAATATTCTCTAAAATAACTTCAACAAGTGGTTATCCATCCTCTACTTCGACACTTCCAGTGTTAGGAAATCCACTACATCCTAAGAGGAGTCTATTTTTCTTTATAACAATCTCAAACTTGTCTCAATGTAACTTCCATCCATTGGTTCTAGATCTTCCCTCTGGAGCAACAGAGAATAAGTCTAACCCCTTTTCTGTGTGAGAGCCTTCAGATATTTGAAGGCAGTTATCATGTCCCTCCCTTTCTTGCTCCCAGCTGCCCAACCCATCAAGGGGTGTGCTAGAGCCATCTCAAATCTGCTAGCAAGAGCAAATTGGAGAAAATGTCAGTGATGCAAATTTAAAAGTGTGTTGTGGGTATCTTTTGTGGGAAGGAGCCAGTTGTTAAAACATTCACCAGCAGGCACCCCTGAACCTATCCCCAAGTCTTCTCTTCTTTAGGCTAAATATCCCCATTGCCTTCCCATTATATAACGAGATTTTGAATACTCTTGCTATCATGGTTACCCTCTTCTGAACAGTCTTTTAGCATGTCAGTAAAACATGACTAAAAGTCAGGGGGCCCAAATGAGTTAAGCAACAGTCTCCAGATGTGCTTTCATCAGAGGAGAATCCAGTGGTGCTAGGGCTTTTCTCATTCTTAATGCTGTGCTTCATATTAATGCAATAGAAGAATGCATTGGTTTTTCAGCAGACACGTTACACTGCTTCTGAATCACAAGGAGAGATTGCAGATATTCAGATACTGTCTCTGGTGTAAGGGATCCTGGAAGCCATCCAGTCCAACCCACATTTGAGCAGGAAGCTCCTCTACAATACACTAGACATGGGGCTGACTAAGTTTTGCTTAAAAACCTCCCAGGAGGTGGAATCCACACTCCAAGGCAGTTCATTCCACGATTTAGCAAAATATGTTCTATTGTATATTGAACCTAAATTGGCTTCTTAGAGACTTCTGTCCATTGATCCTTGTTCTTCTCTCATGGAGATTTAGATTTTGATCTGGAAGGAACCTTAGATCTCATCTAGTTCAATTCCCTCATTTTATAGCTAAGGAAACTGAGGCCCAGAGAGCAGAAATGATTTACTCAAGGTCATAAAAGCAGTAAGTGGTAAAGCTAGGATTTGAAGCCAGGGTTTCCAACTCCAAATCAAATACACTTTCTACCGTACCATACTGTCTATCCACTTCCAAGTGGAAATGTCCTATGGGAAGTTGAATATGCAGACACAGAGTTCAAGGGAAAGAGATTGAGAGTAGATATTGAGAACAATAGCATCTGGAGGCCTTCTTTCATCTTGATTGGCCTCCTCTGCATGCTCCCCAGGTTATCAATGTCTATGCTCAAATGCAGCACCCAGAAGTGAAAACAATCCTCCAGATAGGGTCTGACCAAGGCAATCCCCACCCTCCTAGTTCTGGGCACTATCCTAAGGTGGGAAAGTATAGGGTCGACCCAGGGCACGGACAGTAGTCTAATTTGCCTGGAGCATAGACTGTATGGAAGGTAGATACCATGAGATAAAGCTGAAAAGGGGAAGGGGAGCACCAGATTGTGACAGTCTTGAACACCAGGCAAAGGAGTTGGAATCTACTTGGGACACAGCTGGGAACCAATGACAGATTTTGAGCAGAGGAGTGACATGATGTGCAGAAAGAAGATTAGTCTAAAAGAGTTAAGGAAGAAGGCTAGGAGAGGGGGTAGAGTGGAGGAAAGAAAATCATTAGGAGGCCATTGTAAACATCCAGGCAGGTGGAAATGACTGCCTGTACTTATGGCTGGCAGTGGGAATGGGCGGAGGAGACAAAATGCCACCTGCTGTGAAGTTAAAATGTACAAGCCATTTGGACAGGAAATGAGAGGGAAGAGACAAAAATCCCACCAAGGCTTTGAACATGGCAGACTGGATGAATGGTGGTACTGTTTGCAGAAATACTGAGGTTAGAATGAGGAGCAAGGGAAGCGCGAAGGAAGTTGAGGTCAGTTTCAGATGGGCTGGATTTGAGGTGCTAGTGAGACACCCAGGTAAAGAAGGTCTACTGCCTACTAGAGATGTGAGGATGAAGCTTGGAAGAAAGGTCTAGGCTGAAAAGTCGGGAAGTCATATTCCCCATTGAAGTTATAGGAGAGCATTATGGCATAAAGGAAAGTATCCCCAGACAATTCTCTAAGACCAGATGTTTCAAATAGTAATAACAAGCATTTATATGGCAACCTTAAAGCACTTTAAATACATTCCCTGGGGCAGCGAGGTGGCAAAGTGGATAGAGCACCGGCCATGGAGAAAGGAAGATGAGTTCAAATCCGGTCTCAGACCAGACACTTGATACTTACTAGCTATGTGACCCAGGGCAAGCCCAATTGCCTCACAAAAATAAATAAATAGATAGATAGATAGATAGATAGATAGATAGATAGATAGATAATTAAATACATTCCCTTACCAAGATCTGTTCCAGAAGAGAGACTTTATACTCTTGGAGTTCCTCAAATTACTTAAACCATAGTTCCCAACAATAATATGAAATACCATCCCAGTGCCTAGCACAAAGTAGGGACTTCATAAATATATTTTGAATTGAACAGATTTGAACTGGCCACAGTGCTTAGTTCTGGGTCCTGTTTCCCAGGGTTTGAAGTAAATGGAAACTTACGCACCTAAAATTAATTGATGTTTACTGAGTACCTACTGTGTGTCTAACTCTACGTAAGGGGCTTCGAGAGATAAAATTGTCAGACCTTATTTCTACCTTCAGAGAGCTAATAGTCGAACTGAAAGGAAAATGAAATCTAAAAGTGAGTTTGGAGAGCTAAGCAGCTGTGTGTGTGTGTGTGTGTGTGTGTGTGTGTGTACTGCCTGTGTGAAAGGTGGTCCTGAGGTCGGATCCTTATGTCTAACCATCATGATGAAATTCATTAACTAAAGAAAGATTAATGACAAATTCCATCTTTGATGCCAAAGTGATGAGTTTTTAGACCATAGGAATTCTTGAAGACCACTAAGTTATGGAGAGGTACGGGGAGGAGTGATCTGCATCTGCAGAGATAGCTCCCACACACATGGAGTTACACATAGTCAAGTGAGCTGGCTCCCTCAAGGTAACTTCCACTTTGATTCAGGTCTAAACTTTGAGTCCAAAGCATGTGATTTTTTTTTTCAGTTGGTGATGTGAACAAAAAATACTGGAATCAACAGCACTTTTCTCTGATGTTTCCTAAACCCAACCGACCAGGGAAGAAGTGGAGATCAACTCCTTCTGAATTAAGACAATATTCTCCTGTAAGTACTGAAAAGACCATATAATTATACTGATTTGAAGTTAATGATAAAGGGTCAAGTTCAACAAATTTACATTTATTAAGCACCTAATATGTGCTGCGCACTGTGCTAAGCACTGGGGATACAAAGAAAGGTAGAAACAGTCCCTTCTCTCAAGGGGATCATAATCTAATTGAGGAGACAAGATGCAAACAACCATGTACATATAAGATACAGATACATATACACATGTGTGTATATATGTATATACATACATGCACATACAGATATGCATATATACAGATATATACACACATATAGATACAGATACAGATATGTACACACATGTGTGTATATATGTATATACATATATGCATATTCATAAATTGGAAGTAATCTCAGAGGGAAGGCACTAGTATTAAGGAGGGTTGGGAAAGGCTTCTTTCAGAAGGTGGAATTTTAGCTGAGACTTTCAAGAAGCCAAGGAAGGCAGAAAATGGAGATGAAGAGAGAGGGAGGTCCAAACATAAGGGGGCAGCCAATGAAAATGGGAAGTTGGGAGAGGGAGTGTCTTGTGAAAGGAATAAAAAGGAGGCCAGTGTCATTGGACCATAAAGGAGAGTAAAATGTAAGAAGATGGGAAAGGTAGGAAGGGGTTAGGTCATGAAGGGCTTTATAAACCAAATAGCAGATTTTATGTTTGATCCTAGAGGATCAAAATAAGGAGCCACTGGAATTGATTGGACAGGGGAAAGGGGTGGGGGGGTGGGGTGTGTGCCATGGTCAGACAGGTGCTTTGACAGCTGAGTGAAGAATTAATGAATTGTGAGAGAATTTAGGCAGGAACAACAACCAGCTGTTGTGATAACCCAGGTGTGAGGTGATAGGCATCTATATAAACCAGCCATGTAGAATTCCTGCCTGATCTCAGTTGAAAGACAATCTGTCCCATTTACAATCCACTAGATGACAGACCTGATCACAATAGGGTCACCTATTGTGCATGTTGGTCTTTGCCACTTGAAGACCATTCAGGAAAAATGGGATTATGATATGTCACTTAAAGAGATTTCCTAGCTCTGGAAAAGAGGTTACTGCCAAGGGTCACCCTTGAGATTCAGAAAATGTTACTTAACTGTTTTCCATAAAGACTTCCCCTAGATCCAAGACTATTGGTTATTGCAGACCTGATTATCTAGTCTAGGTTATTCCCTAAGTCTCTTGCTTCTTCCAGTGTTCCTATCACACACAGTATCTACCTCACTCAAAATGCTCAGCTCTACTAGAAGGTAAACAATAGAAAGGCGAGAAGTGAAATTTCAATCTGGTAGTGTGGCTCCTTAGGAATTTCCATACTCCAAAAGATGTTCACAATTTCCCTCTGGCTACGTTGATCACTCCGTAGTGGGTCCAAAGAGTCACCACCTTGGGGCCCATGTCCTGGTGTCAAGTGCATGAAGTGTGCCTCCCATCATGGTCTGGTTGGTCCTCAGCCAGCAGGCAGGATTGAAGCTCCAGGATTGTGTACTTTGACCTGTACTTAAAAGCTTTTCAAATTGGTAGGCCCCACCAGAATTTACAATCTGTGAGTATAGTCTTCGAAGACTCCAGATTACCTACTTACCATGCTGGAACACCAGAGCAGGATTTTAGAGGAAGGAAATCTTTAGTAACAGTTCTACCCAAAGGTGTACCTTAGTTGAACCATGCTAGGGATGGAAGGGAATGGGACAGGGACAGAAATTATGTGAGAGCTAAACACACCAATAAGGTATATGAATCAATGTCTGTGTGCCAGACATCTTTATTGTTTGTTATCTCCTGTACCTATTTGGTGCATAATCATTTTGTCTTACAGAAGTTGTCAGTTCCAGACAGTTCCAGTTCTTGGCCCTTACTATGAATTCTAAGATGGCTCTGGAGACAGAGTTAGAAATAGGATAGGATAGGTTTGGAAACCTATAATTGCTCCATGGGGATGGGCCCTGTACTTGGGCCAACATTTCTCATGGCAAACATACCTCTAGGGAAATGAATTGGTTCAGACTCATAGTGGGGCTGCAGGGAGGGTGTTACAGACCCAGACAGAGGTCCCCAAATCATCCACTCCTGAATTTTCAGGACCAGCCCAGGTATAAAATAGAACAATGTGATCAGGGGAGGGTTAAAAACCTGTCGTAATCCTCACCTGGATTTCCAGAGAGTAATATCAGAGGCCTCTGAAGCCATCTTGGGCTTTAGAGTGGTTTTCTGAATTCTCAGATGAATGATCATAATTTCATTTCAAAAAGGTGACCTTGAAAGAGAAAGGTAAAATGAAGAATGAGCTTCAGTTACAGATGTAAGATTTATCAATACACAGAAGAACTCTTCCTCATGCTGCACAGTGAAAGGTACTTAACTGTTAAGAATAGTGACAAATTTAAAAAACTCCAAGTCTTTACATTGTTTGAATTAATTTTTCAGGTAGAGCTTGCAGTAAAAGACGATCAGAAAGCAACTCCCATCTGGATGTCACGTTCTTTACTACAAATTTCAGAGAAACCTTCTGCTTATTTAGCTGCCAGAAGAAGGCCCCCATTTTTCACAGCTCCACAAAGAGCATCAAAATCCACAGACCCATCCCCAGGAGAGAAAAAACAAATGTACAAGAAAGAAAAAACTCAAGCAGAGAAAACATCAGAGAAGAAGATGGCAGACTCACCAAAAGAGTCAAAAACTAAACTACTAGACACAGTCAATGACATTTCATCCAGAGGATATGACAATGTGTCCAAAGGTTCAGGAGAGTCAAAGCTAAAAAGTGGCACAGATTCACCTAAAGACAAGGAGCCACACACTGAAACCAAGGAAGTGAGTGTGAACATGAAAGACGCAAATAAGAAGAAAACATCCAAGGAGTCTGATGTTGAATCCAGTGATTCAAAGAATGGAAAGAAGAAAGGCAAGGATTCAAGAAATAAGTCTAGGAATTTGGACAAGGCTTCAAAGAGAAAATCCAAGGACGCAGAGTTGGATACAGTGAAGAAAGACAAGAATATAAAGAAAAACTCCATAGATTCAATCTCTAAATCATCAGGTTCAAAGCAGATAGACAAAGATTTAAGGAAAAGATCCAAGGACTCTAATGTTAAACACAAGAATGAAAAGAAAGACAAGGCTTCAAGGAGGAGGTCCAAGGATTCAGGCACTGAATCCAGTGATTCAAAGAAGAGAGATAAGAATTCAAGGAAGAAATCTAAGGACTCGAACAATAAGTCCCAAAATTTAAAGATGGAAGACAAGAAACATAAGGAGAGGGATATGGAATCTGAGAAATCAATTGATTCAAAGAAGAAATCCAAAGGGTTAAATACATTCAGGGATTCAAAGAAACCCAAGAATGGGACGGCAAAGTTCAAAGAACCAGACATTGGATCCACAAGGACAGAATCAGTTGTCACATGGCAAACTCTCCTTAAGGTCCTATATCGCTCAACAGATGCCACCTCGAATTGCGAAGACTGAGATTAGAAATGCACCTCTGGTAAGTTTCTCTCTTTGTTTTTAGTCCAACCTAGCTAAAATGGAATTTCCAGAAACAAGGTCAAAGTCATAGTTTCTCTTTCCCAATAGTCCTGTAGCTTTGTGTAACGGAAAGACTGTTGAACTGAGTAAGGAGCAACTGGTTTGAATCCTGTCTCTCTGCCACATCCTAGCAGTGCGAGTATAAGCAAGCTGTTCAATGTCTCCAAGACCGTTTCCTTCTATGTAAAATGGAGGTGTACAGGGTTATTTTGGCAAGGGTTAAATGAGATGATGTCTGTAAATTTGTTTTATAAGCCTTAAAGCACTCTATCAATTCTGTGATGATGATGATCATCATCAAGAAGCATTTATTAAGCACCTGCTATGTGACAGGAACTATGCTAAGCACTAGGGATATGAAGAAAGGCAAAAACACTGCCCCTGCCCTCAAGGAGCTTACATTCTAATGGGGGAGACATGATACAAACACCTATGTACGTACACGTTATCTGTGGGGTAAATGGGAAGTAATCTCAGAGGGAAGTCACTAGCAGTGGGGAAGATAAAGGTATCTTGCAAAAAGTAGAATTTGAACTGAGTCTTGAAGGAAGCCAGAGAAGTCACGACTGGTGGTTAGGAGAAAGGCTAGGGCTGGATAAAAAAAAGGGGGAGGAAGGGAGAAAGGGAACAAGAATTAATTGTGTCTACTATGTGCCAGGCACTGTGTTAAGCACTTAACAAATATCATCTCATTTGAGTCTTATTATCTCATTTGTCAATTAAAAGATCATTGGAATTATTATTAAAGAGTAAAAAAAAAAAGAGATCATTGGTAACTTTGAATACGGCACTTTCAGTTGACTGATAAGGTCTGAAGCTTCTGAATTTAACCAGAAAAGGGAAGAGAGGTATAGGGGATAGCCATGCAGGGATAGGGTAGCTAGGGGGCTGCAGTGTATTGAGTACTGGGTCTGGAGGCAGGAAGACCTTCCTTGACTTCCTGAGTCAAATCTGGCCTCAGACATCTACTAGCTGTGTGACCCTGAGTAAGTCACTTCACCCTGTTTGCCTTAGTTTCCTCATCTGTAAAATGAGCTGGAGGAGGAAATGGTAAACCACTACAGTTTCTCTGCCAAGAAAACCCCAAATGTGGTCTCTATAACATGGTAAAGATGAGAAGCAGTGGGAAGTTAGAGGTAGAGTCCTAGCCTTGAAGGCAGAGAAGCCCTGGGTTCAAGTCTTGCCTCTGACCATACTAGCATGTAATGCTGGTCAAGGCACTGACCGTCTGTGTTCTAGTCAGTTCTCTAAACCTAGAAGCTGCTGATCTGCAATGGTGGAGGACAGAGGTTCTCAAAGTATGGTCCCAAGACCTTGGGCATCCCTGAGACCCTTTCAGGAGTCCTGAGAAGTCACAACTACTTTCGTAATAATACTAAGATGTTTTCATATCTGATATGGTAAATATCAATAGATATAGCCCACGTAAACAAAATCTCTTGGGGGAGGGGGTCTTCAATCGTTTTTAAGAATGTAAATAGATCCTGAGACCAAGAAGTTTGAGAATCACTGTTGGAGGGTATATCTTCATCTAGGAATTTCCTGTGCCAATGAAATCAAAGGTCAAGTCACTTTCCTCTACAGTAAAGTTATTGGTAATATATACACGAATAAACTTATACAATTATATAGAATAATAAACTTGTAAAAATGAGCTATCTATCCATCATTATTGTTATCTGGTCCCTACTGACCCTGGTCGCTTCCCCACCCCCATCCTAAAGCTATAGCTTGTAAGCAATGTGCCCTCAGCATACTCCTGGGAAAGCTGATCCTTCTCTTAACTGATCCAGAGGGCTTTGGCCCTTGATGTCTGCAGGCCATCCAAAGTGAAAACATTCTACCCAGCCCAGAACGGAAGGTTCCAAGCTTCCTTAGCTATCCCACCTAGGTAACATCTCTCTGGGCCTAGCTCGTCAGCCCACCATGACTCCTCATGAGACCCACAGTGTCCTGCTCCTAATTAACAAAAAGAAAAAGATCATTTTTATCTCCTAAACTGCCTTTTTCTGCCTTTCCCCCACCTTCTATTCAGACTTGGGTCAAACCCAAGGCTCAGGTTGAAGTTCATTCATTCATAGAACCCCAAGCTCAGGCTCAGACAACCAGGACTATCTTGTTAACTTGTTTTTCTTCTTTTATTCTTCCCACAGCCTGAAGCCCAGTGGATCCACAAACTGCTTTGAAGACCTGTGCGTTTGGTTCTACTGGATAGACTTACCACAGATAGGACAACCAATAGCTAGCTACTATCAAAAATGTTTCTACTTCTGATAAAGAAAACCTTTTGTCCTCATTGAGTCCCAGTGACTTTATTTCATGATGTGCAGAGGGGCGTAGTTGATTAGAGGTTGATTAAAGCTAGGTAGCAAAGACCATAGCACACTGGACTTGGAGTCAGGAAGAACTGAGTTCAAATCCTGCTTCAGGCACTTACCAGCTGCGTGACCCCGGGCAAGTCATTTTGCCTCTTTTTGCCTCAGTTTTCCTATCTGTAAAATGGAGATAATAATAGTATCTACATACCAGGGTTGTGAGGATAAAATAAGATAATATTTGTAAATCCCTTTGCAAACCTTAAAGTACTGTATAAGTGCTAGCTATTATTATTTGGAACTTGCTAGAAAGGAAAGGCACTCTTGCTCCAAGAAAGGCAGAAATGGAGCATCCATTGGCATGCATTTATGAAGCACCTACTATGTGCCAGGCACGCCATCATTGAGGATAATGAATAAAAGTGTGAGTGAAACTTCCTCGAGGCGGTCTACTAATCATACTGAGTCCTCATTCTTTGAAAGATTCTTTTATTTTCAGTTGGAAAGGGAGCCCTGTTCCCTGAAACCAAAGACTTCTTCTAGCTTCCCACCTAGGGAAAAAAGAATATGTGGCATAGCAGAAAGGACACTGGATAGGGACCCAAAAGACATGTGTTCAAATCCCAATTCAGCTCCTTACTACTTATATGACCTTTGACAAGTCTCCTAATCTATTTAGGCCTCAGTTTGCCCACCTGTAAATTTAGGTGGTTGTACTAGATAATCTCCAAGGTCCCTTCCAGCTGTAAAAAGACCAGACCCATCTCCTCTCCCCACCCCTACTCCTTTAAATAGAGAACAGTGAATTACTGGAGTATCATTATTCCCAGCCTTAGGGAAGAATCATTGGATCAGGCGTCCTGACAGCCAGGTACCAGCAGATTGGAGCTTGGGGCTAGGCGTCATTATGGTTTCCGGGTGCTCTGCTCAGCTAACATCTTTTCCCAGGCTATGGGGGTTGTCCTTCTTGCTAGAGTCATAAAAGTTTGTATCTGGAACAGGAGGGTGGTGGCCCCAGCAACAGTCAACAAAACTGCAGGACTACCCTTGGGGCCAAACTGTCAACTCCTGGTCACCCTCGCTCCCTATAGCAGGGCCTTATGTACCTTTCATCTTCCAGCCAATTCCAAATTTTTTTTTATTGTGTACCCCTCTCAGCATGAGCTCCACTTACAAATACGGATCTATTTATTTGGAAATAAATTACTGATGTTATGAAGCTTACACAAAATTAGAAATCAAAACAGAATGAGACAAAGATGAAATATTTGATCTGAGAGTAATAGGGAGCCATAAGAGTTTATTGAGTAGAAGGTTGACATGGGCAGATCTGTATTTTAGGCATTTGGGTAGAGGATAGAATGGAATGAGGAGACACCGGAGTTGGGGTGGCCAATTAGATGGCTGTGTGGGTAAAGGGGGCAGATGAGAGAGATAGTGTGAAGGCACAATGAATGAGATCTGGCAACTGAACCAGTCAGCATGATACTATGATGAAAGTGCTGGCCTTGAAGTCAGGAAGACTCTCGCCCACAGAGACAAGAAGCTCCTGTCCTGTCCCGTCCTATCCTATTGTTGTTGTTGTTTTTATTATTATTATTATTATTATTATTGGCAATGGGGTGAAGTGACTTGCCCAGGGTCACACAGCTAGTAAGTGTCAAGTGTCTGAGGTCAGATTTGAACTCAGGCCGTCCCCTCCTATCCTATCCTATCCCACCCTATCCTATCCCATCCTGTCCTATCCACCAAGCACTGTGCTAATCGCTGGGGATACAAAGAAAGGCAAAAACACTCTCCCTGCTCTTGACCTTACATTCTAATGGGAGAGACAACATACAAATGCCTATGTACATTCAAGTTATCTGCAGTGTAAATTGGGAGGTAATCTCAGAGGAAAGTCACTAGCTGTAGGGAGGAACAGGGAAAGGTATCTTGCAAAAGATGGAATGCCTGCAGGCCTTCATTCAGATTCCTGCCTCTGACAATTGTGAGCTATGAGACTGTGGGCCAGTCACTTAACCACTCTAAGCCTCACCTTCCCCATCTGTAAAATGAGGGGCTGGGAGGACATGCCTCTGATGTCCCTTCCAGCCAGAAATCTCCGATCCTCTGAGCCTGCACAGTGAGCAATCGTGAGACTCCGAAGGTTGGGATTCCGTGTGACTGCAAGGCTAGAAGTTGCCTCAAAGAGGGCTGTCTAGGTTGGGGGGTGAGCGGGGAGATCATATCATGAGATTTGCCTCTCAAATTGCAGTCTGTCACACAGGTCATCCTGGGAGACCTGCTTTGTCCCACAAAAAACAAAGATGAGGGAGGGAGCAGAGATCTGACCCTCCAGCTCCTGCCCAGGGGCCCAGCCCAGAGGCAACTGACAGGGGGTTACTGAAGGGACAAGGTAATCTGGTCATGGAGATGTGGGGATGCTGGGGAGTATGGCTGTTAGGACAACTTAGTTCAGATGCCCAGCTTGCACTTAGCAGATAGAGTGCTGAATTTGGAGTTAGGAAGACCTGTGTTCAAATTCTGCCTCAGAAACTTAACTAGAGATGTGACCTTAAGTAAGTCACTTAACCTCAATTTCTTCATCTGTAATGTGAGCACTCCCTCCCCATCAGCGGCTTGTTATAAGGCTCAAAGAAGATAATGCATGTAAGGCACTTTATAGACCTGAAACTCCTACATGGTAACTATTACTATTAGTAGTAGCAGCACTAGTACAGGGCCGTACACATAGGTAGCCTAGAAGGAAGCCTGTGTAATATAAACGCCTTAAGACCTGGGCTCAAATTCTGGCTCTGCCTATGTGTCCCTGGGCAAGTCAACCTCTCTAGTGACAATTTGCTCATCTGGAAAATAAGGGGGTTTGACTAGATGGCCTTTAGAAGCCCTGGGGTGTCTGGGGTGTTCAGGGAGGGTGAGCACCTCTTCTGTGAGGGCTTACTGCTCACACACCTTCAGTGTCCACCTGCCACTCAGCTCTTACCTGTGGCTCCAAGAAGAAGCATGCTCATCAGCCATACACCACGAAAACCATCTCCGCCGATGGGCAAAACCAGGTTGAGGATAACGGACAGGCTTCAAGCCTGTCAGTGAGTTAGGCGGTTTCTACCCCCAGCAGACTTCCCTTGGAGGAATGGGCCGATGAGAACAATTTGTTCCAGCAGCCATGAAGTCAGCTTAAGCAGGCATTGTAGAGTGCTTGGAGCTTGGTCAGACATTGAAGATGCCAAGGTCATCCACTGCATCCAGGGCCATTGCCAGAACTCCTGCCTTTTGTCTTGTCACTGGATTTCAATGACTGGAAGAGAGAGTGAGGCTTATTACTTTGTGCAATTCTGCCTCAAATTCACATGGAAGTCAAAACGTTATTCTGTGATCTCATTGGGCCTCTTCAAAAAAGGAAGGACAAACAACAACAAGGTCTCCTCAGGCTCTAGAACTATGATCTATACTATGTCTCTAAATTGTCCCCCCAGTCGTGTTTCCTGAAATTCAACTATTAGAGATCCATTCCTTTATCTGTGTCTGTTCAAATGCAAAGAGAGTCAACATATTTAACTTTATCATAGACATATTTACACCTCAGTGTGAATGAGGTCCTTCTCTGACAGGTGTTAATGTTGGGTAGCAGGGTCCCAGATCTCTAATACAGATACATCCAAAGTTTCTACTGACCACGTGATACCAATTAATTCATCATGGCCAAGCCCCTTGGTTGGTCTTCATGCCAGAACTCCAGGAACATGGGTTGTTCTATTTCCACGGAGCTCTGCCTGACTCTTTCTCCCTTCTCAAGCACTGCAGCTTCTCCAGGGGCAATGTAATGAAGGCTATTTTCAAAACACAGGAAATAGTCTACTTAGATGTTCAGTGCAAGCAGCCCCAATTTAGGAATAAGAAAGAGAAAGTTGGGATGAGGCCCCAGAAAGGGGAAGACGGTTCAGGGCTAGAGCCAAAGTGGAGCATTTGGCAATATCTGGACCCTTGAGCTAGAAGCCCCCACCACCAAGCCCCCATCCCCCTTCCACCAGCTATTTAGAAATAGCCCTTTCCTCTACTCTTCTTTTCCTTTCTTTTTGCAGGTGGTGAATAAGGCAGAGGACAGAGTATGCTCTGTCTGTGTGGTTTAATGAAAAAAAAATCACTGAGCTAGAAGTCTGGAGATGCAGGTTCTAGTTGCAAAATGGGGCAAATCACTTCCTTTCATTCAGCCTTACTTTCCTACTTTGTAAAGTGAGGTTAGATTAGATGAAATTGAGGGTCCCTTCCAGTTCTAAAACCTTCTCTGTGGGTTCAGATAGTTCTGGATTCTTGAAGCCTGTTCTTAGAGCTTACCATCTAGCTCATTACTTGGGCCATCTGAGATTCCAAGGACACTGCTACTGGATTTGATTTTCTAAGAACTTTTCCCGGGATGCAGGAAGAGACTATATACATACATACATATATGTGTGTGTGTGTGTATACATATATATACATATATATATATGTATATATATGTCAGCTACAGACACTGGGGATGTCACTAAGTGACAGGGAGAATTAGAAGAAATGAGGAGCATTAAGGAGAGGGAAATAATGGTGGCTGGCCAGGAGAGTCATGGAAAGGAAAGTCAACAATGGGGAAGGGGAGATGGCAAAGAAAAAGAGGAAAAATTAGTGGGGGCTGGGAAATGGCAAAGGGGAGGAAGGCAGGGAAATAATAGTGACTCACATTTCTCTAACACTATAAGGTTTTCCAAGTGGTTTCTAGTGTTGTACACAAACAACGATTACCAGTCCTGTTTTATAGAGAAAGAAACTGAGGTTCAGAGGGGTTGTGCCTCATGTGTGCTCACATGGCTAGTGTCATTTCTAGAACTCAAACCTAGCTCTCCTGACTCAAGGTCCACACTCTTTACACTATAGCAAGCTGTTTCATGGGTGGTACAAATGTGTAGTCCATAGGCCAAATCCAATTTTAGTACAATTAGATCTT